CTGGAGGACGCTAGGAAGAGGCGTGTACTACAGAGTATATAGCTAGAGCCTGCGGCCCTCCACGCCACATACCCTTCGGGAGGTCTGCCGCAAGGGCGGCCGCGCCCTTGCCGCCATGGCGTTAAATATTAAACAAACAAACAAACTCTCAACGTCCACGGGTATAGTCAATGTACTGACATTGCAGACTGCTTTATACCATTCCAACTCGAGGCCGCCTGGTCATCCGCATTTCTTCTCAAGGTACTCGAAGTTTTGTCATCTGGCCTGGTCCCTGATCAATCATACCTGGCAGAAGCACATTACATATTCGACATCATGAATCAGAGAGGGAGTCCTGCGGCAAAGCTGCGTAAATGCGACTTTGAACGACTTGAACAACTTGTGTCATCTTTTCTCGGTACACCATCTCAAGGGAACAATGAATATCCAGAAGAACACTTGTCCTCACAAGAGATTTCCTCCGAACAAGCAAATGTGGAGGGTCCTCACAATATCGATCCTGTTGAATCACTACAATGGGATCTCTTCGACAAGGAAAGCGGCTTCGCTCTATCCCCGACGGAACTCATGGACCTGGCTGAAAGCTTGCACATGGAAGACTTCTTTGTCGCCAGGCAAGAAGAAGATGATTGAACACATTGGGCAGTCTGCAACATCAGGACTCATATGTCGTTCATACTTGGGAAACCTCGGCTGCTCACCTTTGCAGAACTTGAGGCCGCATCTGCGCCTCTACCATGAAGCATTGAAATCGAATCAGTAATCTAAATCTAGGAGAGCTTCGCCGTTCACAGCAATAATACCGAGGACCGATATTCTGATCAATTCAAATAGACGTCTGCGAATGCCGTCCATCTCAACCTGACCTCGGCCCAGAGTCTAATGCCCTTCTGGTAGAGGTCGCAAAGACTCGTAAGCGGATATCACGCCCCTTCAACTCCCGTTCCGACGCGTCCGAAACGCCGCAAATGGCATCAGAATGGCGTCCGGGAGCGGGATGAATCCGAGTTGCGGGGCTGGAGTAGTCCGGTGTGTGGGGCCGTGGCATCCCGCCTTTCGCCTCCGTTGGCCTGAAATCACTCCGAGGTCTCAACAAATAAGTTCAGCAGAGCATGGAAATCATCTGCAGACCCACAAAGAGCCGAAGGGCATGGTGTACAATGCTTGGTAAATACACTCAGACCTCGGCTCAATTACCTTTTACGTCTTTTCTCAACATCGCAACTACACGGGGTGTTGTAATTTCTGCGAAGCGAAGTTTGCATATGATGTTTTCGCTCCTAGATAACAGAGTATTTAGTGCATTGAAAAGGACCGAAATGTTTTCCACGGCGTGCATTCCACAGGAGCAAAGCAGTACTTCAACATGTTTTTCTCAACGTCTTTCAGCAACGCCTCGCAAGTTGCCTGGAGCAACATCTCCTTGCCGGCCGCCGTCGCCGTAATTGGATATCTTTTGTTAGTTCGGACCCTGAGATATCAACAAAAAAATGCCATAGAGGCACCGTTCACTTCTGGGGGAAGGCCTTTGTCAAGCATGACTATCGAGGAGGCTCAAAGCATTATGAATCAGTTGCAGGAGCTCGAGTTCCCCCGGTCCATGGCAAAGGCTCGCCAGATCTCCCTCCTGAAGGTAAGTGATTTGTCGGCAGAACTTCCCCAAGGGCCAGCATGAGCACTGACGCTTCGGAACGACATCTTCAGGCTGGTGCTATCCCAACTATGTCTAAGCTCTTCTTAGCGACAGGCCAGAACAGCAGGCGTAACGCTGGGAGACGAGCCGTCGACACAGAAATCCTTCTTAGGGAGGCACAGTCAAAGTCTAGGGATTCAGATCGATACGCTACCGCAGTTGCAAGAATGAATTATCTGTAAGAAGCTTGTCCGGGAGCTTTCACGGTGTTGCTAATAATAGCAATCAATACCCTAGACACGATCGTTACCGCCGAGCAGACAAAATCACAGACAACGACTTACTTCATACACTTGGCGACAGTCTTATTTCCATCTTTGAGGTCGTCGACAAGGACGAATGGCGCAAGTTGACGGACGCCGAGAAGTGTGCCGCTGGAGTCTTTCACAAAATTTTGGGTGACGACATGAGAATTCCATACGATGTGCTGCCCTCGCATATCGAAGGTTGGAGGGACGGCTTGCATTTTGCCAACGAATTGACCGAATGGGTCGTTCAGTACGAAAATGAAGTAGCCCGGCCCTCGGAAGCCTCTAACCACTACGTGAGCGTCTACGTCGATGCAGCCGTGTCTGCTCTGCCCGACTTCGTACGAATCACTTTGCGAAAGACATTGGCTGCTGACATGAACGATATCATGGTGCAAAGTCTCAAGTATGTTGAAGGATTCAACGGCTTCTGGTTTGAAAATAACTAATGCGATTTCCTTCACGACAGTCTCGAGTCTCCTGGCACCATTCTCTCAACAGCGCTTCTCGCTTACCGCAATGTACGAAAGCTCTACCTTAGACACCTTTCTCTCCCTCGTCCATCATCCTCCGCCGTCAGGCTGGTTGACGACGCTGCCAACCCTCAGAGCAAGCTCTACAATTTTCAACGAAAGGTTCTGCAGCCGTGGTACATGAAACCTACCTTTTGGTCCACGTGGGGACCTGCCGCATTGCTGTTGCGATCACTGGGCGCCAAAGCACCTGGCTCGCAGGGAGACCGATACTATCCTCAAGGATATGATCTGATGACGATCGGACCAGAACCGCAGAAGGGAAAGGGGATCGAGGAAATGACTTCAGACATCGAGACTATCAAAGGCAGAGGAGTTGCGACTTGCCCATTCTCACATGCAAAGGCAGGATACATCTAGGTGGGGATTGAAAGAGCCGGCACTGAGAGATCCTGTCTGTGCGATGTTAGGTGCGATCTTCTCATCCATGCCTTGGTTATCATGCTCTTATTGTCCTTTCAATCGATTGTGTATTTGAACATGGGTTTGGGGGCGCAGATGGTTGTAGAGGCCCATGATTTGTACACGTATTTGCAAAGTCAGATAGGTCAGGTGTTTCCGCCACAATCATTGAAGATCTGGAACCTCGCGAAAGCCGAAGCACGAACCGGTGTTCCGTCAAATGCCGGGAGATCCACACCGAGGTCGCCCCTCTTCGCCCGAGTTGCAGGATTCAGATCGGAGAAAATTCCACGCTATGATTTTAGCTAGCAAAACCCTGCACAGTTCGCATTGACCCCTGGCGAGGTGCATTTAAGGGTCTAAAGACGCAAATTGCCACGGGAACTGTAAGCGCGCCTTTGAACCACGGATATCTTTCATCTAATCTCTGGCTTCTGGGGAGAGATTGAGCATGTTCATCAGTTGGTCATCGATTCAACTAGTAATTCAATGAAAGCCCACAGCAAATCAGGCACAGCCTGGGACCAAGACCTGCCTGCCGGCTTGTCCCTCCAATGACCACATTTCGTGCACGTAATGGGTCTCCGCTTGGTCCGCCTGGACGTAAAAGTTTTGATGGGCGACGCCTTTCGTTGACAGTGGCTAGCGGCGGTTTTTGCTCGGCTTTGCAGAGTGGAAAATTCTTGCATCCATCTGAATCTCAAATGGAGCCGCAGCGGCTCCATTCTTTACCTAAAAGCTCCTCGCTTGTGTTTCTGAATACAGTAAAGTGCCAAGAGGAACCGCCGAGCGGGCCTTCTAGCGCGGCTCAAACATGCCATGGAAAGCTTCTTTTACGACATCAAAACATGGTGATGGCGCCCTCCGCAACACGCCCCCAGGTAACCGCGAGATTCAGGCCGAAGAACGACCATTCAGCGCATTCGCAATTCAGTCTTTACGGGGTATTTCTTGTATAATGACACAAAACAATTAGATCTTTTTACTCCAAGATACATTCCCCGTGTTGTAGGGGTTATCTCTTATCTCTGGGCGCCCATGGGGCGAGATCGTTCTGTGGAGGAAGACCCGACTGTTACCGGCCATGCGACTGACGACAACCTCTCCGGCCAAGGATACCGCCGGTCGGTCATCGCCCATGTGGATCCCAAAATCTTGACTCGCGCCTCTTGATCATCGTTTAAAGGACAGCAAACGTCAGACCGTTCGCGCCGAGTTGACCGCCCGGGTTCTCGCTCCTCCAGTGGTCTTACCCTCTCTTCTTTCCTCCTCTCTTGACTTCCCTCTTGAGTCCAGCCTTCGCCAAACTTTCCAAAGTGTCGGCAGTGACTGCAACGGCTCAACTCCTCCCATAATGACGGACGCTATTACCACCGCGACCGCTACCGGTCCCAACAGCAAGGACACCAAGAACGACAAGGTTGATGCCGAGCAAGTTCAGCCGCGCAACCCTTGGCCCGAGATGAACGACCAGACCATGCTCGGCGAAACCAGCGATGAACTGAACAACGACCGCCTCAAGAAGATTGCCGCCGAGGGTAGCGCTCACTTCCATCGTCTGGGCTGGAAGCGCCTCGCCATCGTCACCATCGTTGAGGCCGTTGCCCTCGGTGCCCTTAGTCTGCCTTCGGCCTATCATACTCTCGGAATGTTTCCGGGTGTTTTTCTCACCATCACCCTTGGCATGATCTCGATTTTCACTAGTTATCTCGTCGGCCAGGTCAAGCTGGCTCACCCGTACATCGCCAACTACGCGGATGCTGGAAGACTTCTTTTCGGCCGCTTCGGACGTATTGGATACGAGCTTTTTGGTGCTGCTCTTGTTCTTGAGCTTGTCATGGTTGTTGGTTCTCACGCTTTGACTGGAAGCATCGCGCTGGTTGACATCAATGGTGGCCATGTCTGCTCCATCGTCTTCTCCGCAGTTTCAGCTATCATCCTTCTCATTCTCGCCATTCCCCCGTCGTTCACTGAGGTCGCTATTCTGGGATATATTGACTTCGTGTCCATCCTGGCGGCTATTGGTATTACCGTTATCGCTACTGGTATTCAGGCCAGCAACTCCGCAGGCGGCCTTTCCGGTGTCGAGTGGTCCGCCTGGCCTAAGGAGGGGATTTCCTTCTCAGAGGCCTTCGTCGCAGTGAGCAACATCATCTTTGCTTTCAGTTTCGCGATCGGCCAATTTTCCTTTATGGACGAGATGCATACGCCGACCGACTATATGAAGTCCATCTGGGCGTCTGGATTCATTCAGATCGGTATCTATACCTTGACTGGCGCTCTATGCTACGCTTTTATCGGACCTTCCGTGCAATCTCCAGCGCTACTCTCTGCTGGACCCCTTATTTCCAAAATTGCTTTTGGTGTCGCTATCCCGGTCATCTTCATCTCCGGGTCGATTAACTCGACTGTTGCCCTCCGATATCTTCACGGCCGTATGTACAAGAACTCTCACTTGCGCTACATCAACACCCCCATGGGCTGGGCTAGCTGGATTATCCTTGTGGTCATCTTCACTATCATCGCTTGGGTGATTGCCGAGGCTATTCCCATCTTTTCCGACCTGCTCTCTCTGGCTTCTGCTCTCTTCGTCTCCGGGTTCTCATTCTACATCCCGGCTATCATGTGGTTCGCACTGCTCTGCAAGGGCAAGTGGTACTCCCGTGAGAATATTCTCATCAGCGCTGGAAGCATCCTCGCTTTCATTATCGGTGCTGTCACCCTGGTCGCTGGTACCTACTCGACCATCGTGGATATTGTAAGTCAACGCGATATTTTAAGTTCCTCAAAAGGCATGCTAACGACGTCTAGATTGATGAGACGACGACTGGCTCTGCTCACAAGCCTTTTGCTTGCAGATCTTCTTAGGCTGTAACTAAGAATTGTAGTTGTAAATAATTATTAGAAGTCTCACGGGACGTCAAAGACCTAAGATACCCTTGGCTAAAGCCATGATGATTACGAACTCTCCACAAGCCTGGCCTTGATTTACTGTGAACATGCACTTGGACGAATTTTCACGATGCTTAGTCATTTACTGTTCAACTGACAGTGATATTCCCTGAATTAAAGATTGCCTCAAAGACATGCTTTGATGGCTTTAGAATGGAAATGTGGGATACGCCAGTTGGTGCCGTATTTCAAGTTCACTACGATTTTTGATCGCTGAATAGAACAACACATTTATAATGTCTTTCTGTACGTCAGTTGTGAGCATAATGCAAATGGCGATGGTGAGATGGAGGATGAACGACTACAGGATTAGTGCTCTAGCCACACTAAAGAACATTTGTAATAGATAGGTAAAAAATCAATACAGAAATAACACAAGCAAATTTCTAATGTAATTACATGACGAGTTGTCTCACAGCTCCCTAGCTCCTCTGCACTGGAGCAAACCTCCATCTCTATGACCGTCCGTAGCAGCTCACCTCCAACGATTCGTAATGCTGGGGCATTATTGAAAAGTGTGGACGATACAGTAAGGAATGTCTTAAATGTTGCACAAGAAAGAGGAAACATCGTCATTCATGGTGCTGAAAGAAGGGTGGCTACGAATGTCGTCAACCTTGCCAGTGGTGGCAATCTGGCCGCCACCGGTGCGGCATCCGGTGTCACTTTCATGTGTTAGTTATGATTATCTACAGCTGCCTGTTGCTAATTACTTACTTGTAGAAGATGCAGTTGTAACCATGGGCATCCAGCGAGCTGACCTTATCGTTCAGTCTTCCGATAGGAGAGACTGTAGGATGTTAGTTGGGAGCTCTCTTGAAGGATAGATGTAAAACAAACCGCAGAAGCCAAAGTTGAAGTTGACCGTGTCGCAGTCAGCCATGCCCTTGTCGCTACAAAGAGTAACACTCTGGTTGATCTGTCTCTCCTCGACCTCCTTTGTCGAAGTCTCGACGGGAGCTGCGAACACAGCGGAGGAGGCAAGAAGAACAGCGATGATGGTCTTGGAGAACATTTTGGCGGTTTCTTTTGGAAATTTAAGTGGCAGAAGAGGCGAGGATCTTGAAACTTTTGATGCAATGGTTGGGGGAGCTGAGTGAGCTAAAGATTGCTATGATAGTGGAAGACACTGAAGCGTGATGCTGATGAGAATAAAAAGAAGACTTTCCATGGTCGTGGAAGCCCGTATTTTATAGGTTTGAGCGCCAAATGCACATTCGCATAGTCATGGATGCTTCAAAGGACTTCTTCAATCGCCATCTCACTCGCTTTCGCGAAGGCGCAGTCCACCTTGATCGTCCGCAATACGAGGCCTCATAGGTCTGACCTCATTGTCTTTTTTTGCCTGACTATTGATCACCAAGATTACAAAATCCTAAACGAAGCTGAAGATCACGAGTCACGACGAAAGACATGGTAAATAGTTGAGGCTGGGCATTGATGGCTTGGCGGCTATACATCAGCCTCTCAATATGGCAAGTCTTCAGACAATCTAGACCCATCTGATGATACTGATTGAGCTGACATAAGGGTGTTCGTCGCTACATGTCAGCTCGATTAGTATTTAGGCCAAGAGTAAACTTCGCAGGGGACGGAGGCATCGTGACTCGCTGTCATACACTAAACCACATTAACGTTGATCGCCATAAATTAATCCCGGTTGGGCAATGCTCCGGGCGGGTTTGACATCTCCGGCTTTCTCGGGATGGCTGTCGATCTGTGCCCCACGGCCCGTAAATTGGCTCTTCGTTCTCGGACCCGTCCTCTTTGATACCGCCTCGGGCTTTGGAACCCGGGATATTGTATTCGAACGACCTCAAGGTAGAGAAGGCCAAGTGCCAAGGGGTTTGCCAAGTTCACAGCACGAGGCGTACCTCAAGCTAATCGTAAATGATGAATGCGTTCTTTGATCGTGACGCAGCTCGGTTTCGCAACATACGCAGATTCTTGCTTGAACTGGTTTTGCGAAGAAACTGTAATAGAGAAAACAATTTCGAAGCAATCATCGAAGACGGGGGCCAGACGAACAGGTCAGGCTAGGATCAATGTTAGGCCGACAGATCAGGTGTTGGAGATTCTCAAGACATTTGCAGCTTGAATTCCATAAATATCACGGATATTTTCCATCAACTGTGCCGATTTTCATCCAGCTCATCATCCCAAAGAATTTCATCAGCTCTTCTGGCCTTCCTGTATCTTTCTCAAGCTCTCAGATACCTACAAAGTCACCAGTGAGAGTCTTAACTTAACCAAACAATAATCTCATCAACATGAAGTTCACCACCATCACCGCCGTGCTTCTCAGCAGCCTCCTGTCTACCACAGCAGCTATTGATCCTGCTGTTAACGGCAACAGCTTCCATGAACGCAGAGTTCAAGAAATTGAAGATCGACAAGTCGCCGGAGCAATGGAAACTCAGAACTTGATTGAAGCCGAGAGCATTCTCAACTCGGCTCGCTCATCTTCTGTCGGCAAAATTCGTGGACGCCGACTCCGTGAGGCTCAGGAGCGCCAGTGCTCCAAGCAGCCTGCCACCGAGTGTAACAAGTGCATGGACGCACTTGTGCAGACCGCAATTTTTGAGGTCATGGGCTGTGGAGTTGCCGCTCTTGGCGTTGGCGCTCTCAGCGGAGGTGCCGCGTCTGCACTTGCTGCTATGGGCTTTCTTGCTTGCGACGGAACCGTCTACGGAAGCTATGAGAAGGGGCTGGTTGAATGCAGAGCGTTTTAAAGGGGGAATGCTGGGTCTGGCGCGAGACACACGCGACTCGTGTGTCTGTTTATACAGATTCATGTCTTGGGACGTCACCTAAGCTTTGAGGGAGTATCTCACCAGTACCTTACGACAAGAGCATGGATACTCCTTCCCGAATGCCACCATTCAATATCACATTCTGCTTCTCTTACAATATAACTTAATGTACTTACTTGGTTTTCTACAACTTAAAGACCGCACAAGTGTTTCTAAAGATGCGGCAAGATGTGAATTTGCCGGCAAGAAGTCGTCTCGGCAAAGAGGCAAGTTCGCCGTTGGAACGTTCGAGTCACGAGCTAGGTCTCTGATGTCGGCGCCGACACCAAGAGCCGAAAAACCTCTATCAATACTGCGAAATTCAACTGAACTTTGCTGATCTTGGTACAAAACGTGCAAGAATTGATTACGATTTATTCAGGCGGTCATGCTGCTTAGCTATGGTAAGTTCTCCTGTGTACAACTTGCGGGGAACACTCGGCCTGGCGATATTTTGCCGTCTCTATATGCTTCGACTGGCTCGGCACTTCAACAAATCTCCGTCCAATTGTCTTGAGTATCCGATACTCTCGGACTTTCCAGAGGTTGTTTGTCATAGAAAGGCCCCCAAAAACCTGTATAACCGGCGAGGGACTCGGACGCCGATTCATGAGGTTATAACTTATAAGTACCAATAATTATTTTCCATAGCTCCTGTAACCGAAAACCATACACGATATTCCCTTGCCAATTCAGTCTTTCGGATCATTATCATCAACTCTATTGCTCATTATGACGATCAGTCACTCCCACCATCTCAGCGATCGGCGCCTTATCAAGTCAACAGCATCAGCCGCTGCCGTTTGTGTTCAAAATCTTGGTTGCTGGAAGGCTGCAGTTAACGAGATACAATCTTGGCCAGAATACACATGTCAACCGTTACGAGCTTTACCTAATGCTGCCAACACTTTGGGACTTGGCAATATCTTTGTCAAAGATGAGAGTAAGCGATTCGGTGAATCTCTAGGCTCTTTCAAAGCCTTGGGTGCACCATACGCTGTTTTCTCCATCCTTGCAGATGAAGTTCTCCGCCAGACTGGAGTTAGGCCGTCGTCCACAGAGTTGCGCAGCGGCAAATATGGCGCGTTCACTCGGAACGTGACTGTATGTGTCGCGACGGATGGCAATCAGGGCCGAGGACTCGCTTACGGTGCCAAGATATTCGGCTGTCGATGTGTGAACTACATCCACAGCCATGTGAGCCAAGGTCGTGCCCATGCGATGACAGATCTTGGAGCGTTGGTCATTCGAGTTGATGGAGAGTACGAGGAGTCGGTTCGTCGGGCAAGGGAGGATGCCCACATGAACGGTTGGCATTTCGTCAGCAGTACCTCGTGGTCTGACTTCGATGAGATCATTCCGAAGACTGTCATGAACGCCTACATGGTCGTGGTTGAGGAGACGCTTCAAACGTTGCCCCGTGCAGGAGACATTACCCATGTCTTTGTTTGCGGTGGCGTGGGTAGCATCGCGGCAGCGATCTTTATGGGTCTTTACAAGCACTTTCAGGAGCTTCAAAACCTGGATCACTCTGTTCAGATTCCACGTTTCGTTGTTATCGAGCCAAACCAGGCAGACTGTTTGTTGCAAAGTGCCAAGGCGGGAGAAATGCGCCAGCCCTGTGGCAGCCTGCGCACTCTCATGGCTGGCTTGGCTTGCCGAGGCCCGTCTCCGGCAGCGTGGAAAGTTCTTCAGTGGCTTACTAGCGACTTTGTCTCAGTCTCTGACTCAACCGCGGTTGATGGGATGATATATCTAGCGGAGGGATGCGAAGGAGATGTCCCTGTGGTTTGTGGGGAATCGTCAGCTGCGAGCATGGGGCTTCTTTTGAACTGCAGTTCTGACAAGGCTTTGCGCAAAGCTCTTGATCTGGATGAACAAAGTCAGTGCCTTTTGTTTGGTCTTGAAGGTGCGACAGACCCTGAAATATATGAGGATTTGGTTGGACGCACGCCTCAGACTGTTTTCGAGGCGCAGAATAAGTTCTTAGCGACCCAAACGCAAGGCTGACTGAGTATCCGCGTTCTCGTCATTATTTTACTCCAACGCAGAATGAAACTTCTCAGTTCTCTGTCGCAAAAAGTTCATCTCTTGTCAATCTATCTAGGGTCCCCCGTCAGACTAGAACATAAGACCGAGCACTTCAGTCCAATAGATATTCATGTGTAATTTTCGGTGATGTATCGCTGTTCCCAGTTCTGTGAGATGAATCTTCCGGAAGTAAATGTACGCTCTCTCATTTCCACCAGGACTTCATAGGATCACCCAGAAATCTCTCAATGTAGATGTTGTGTTGTTACGCTGGAGACATGCCGGTGATTGTTTACATGGTGGGAAGAGTGACATACCGCCGCTTTAGGATTAATAGTACGTCTATTTTTAGACCCCATCGTGCCGAAGTATCTGCTCTTGGGTGCTCGTCCAGTCTTCGTTGAAAACACGAGTGAGTCGCTCGCGTCAAAATTCTGTCTTCGGATCGTACGTCTATGGAGCTTTAACTCGCCAAGATATAGCAATCTCAAGAAATTGTCTCCTCAAGCTTCGCTCCGCTGGTCAGTTAGTGTTGCGAAGCAAACAATTGATGATCCATAGCGCTTGGGTTGCCCCACATTTGTGCGCATACCATCGGTGCTCTAGCGTTCAAGCGCCCAACCTCGGCTGTTTGCTGTTTGTCTTACCCCCTTCTGGCCAACTCACCGAAATCACACTGAAGCTCCCCGCCAAACAAGAACGATTACTGATCATCAAGAAACGATACATTAACCAGCTTTTGGGCTCGTCCGATCAGCTGCACTCTAAATTCGGTGAAGGGTGTCATCATTGAAATCATCACTTCAGGTCCCCAACGTGTCAACGAACCTACTCCACCATGGCCACCTTGCAAGAGCAAGTCGCCGCGGACGACCTCGGTTCAGACAGGTTCGCCAGCCGCATTAACCCTGGACGCATGGGCAATGCGCAAAACATTGCCTACGGAGGGTGCACCATCGGGTTCGGCATCTCATCAGCATGCCACACGGTTGAACCCAAGTACCTCCTCTATTCAGTCACCGGCAACTATCTTGGTCCAGCCTTGACGGATCGGAAGCTGAAAAGTACTGTTCGCAGAGTTCGCGACACCAGAACCTTCGCAACAAGACTCATTGAGATCAGCCAGGACCAAGATAATGGAGAGTCGCGACTGTGCATGATCATGCTGGCGGATTTTCAGGTGAAAGAGCAGGCTTCGCTATTGTTGTACTCAGCACCGCCATCGAGGTCATATTCTCCGCCAGAAAAGGGTCTTCTCCCGACTGAGGCAGCGGAAAAGCTGGTCAAGGAGGGCGTTGTATCGGAGAAGCTGGGCAAGCTGTACCTCGTTACTTTCGGTCTGAACGCCCGCTTTCTCGAAAGTCGCATGACGCCTGAGGGCGTTGCCCCCAACAATCTCCACGGCGTGGCCAAGAAAGCCAAAACACCCCAAGATGACCTTCCTCTGACTTCCAAGACCACGGCCGATTGGCTTCGGTCTCGCCATCCAATGGAGCGCCTTCAAGACCGGTTCGCCGGCCTAGGCTTCGTCCTAGACGGGGCGCTGTCTTTCATCCCTCTCACACACAACCACATGTTCCTAGACGACGCTGCAGCGTGCTCTAGTCTTGACTTCGCGCTCAGATTCTTCACTGGCGAGATAGATTTGGACAAGTGGCATCTCAGAGAATTGAAAACCATCACAGGACGCGATGGGAGGACCTACACCGAAGCCAGACTTTGGGATCAAGATGGGAACATGGTCGCAAATATGACCCAGCAGTCCATCATGAGGCCTTTGAAGAAGGCGGCCACGGCCTCTCTTTAGAGATTTCCAGTTTAACTGCCAGTACTAGACCTGTGCATTCGCGGAATGGGCTTTTAGTCAACAGAGAGCCCACCGAAGGTTACGTGGGTTGGCTTGTTTAGAGAGTAACATAGACCTCTGAACGCCCATGTCTCTCTAGATCCAGGGCTCCGTATGTTTTTATAGATTACATTTCATAAGTAGAACCCGAATCATGATTTCTTCGCTTTGAAGACCCTTGCTCATGCTTGAACTTTCATTCATCTTAGGAAGGTGAGGCTTGCACTAGACAACGCTTTCAGTTCGTGTTGCTAGCCTTACTCCTGGAAGTTTCGCATTGCATCGGATAATTCCGAAAGAACATTGGGTCTACTCTCTCAACTCTCACACTAATATGTGATAAGTAGACCCTTGTGCCGTTGTTCCGTGTTCCCGGAAAGTGACAGATTAATCGAATCAACCAAATGACGTACATGGAGATTGCGTTCGACGTGTGGTCCTGATCCAGTCATCTTACACATTAGCGATTTCGTTCTTTACTTCCCTATTCTTGGTTGAAACTTAATGAGCAGACATATTGCCGGCTGTATGGTCGTGCCAATTGGACATCGCTAGTTGCATTCCTTGCGAATTACAGTACGAATCTTAGCTGCTAGCCTCCGCCTGGAACGGCGGGGAATACCCAAACTACTATCGTACGATGTTTCGTTCAACGGGTCGACAGGTTCATCTGCGTTCGTCATGAACTTGCCTGCGTTTATCGTGCTGTCATCGGCGGCAGCCGGCCAGCATGGCGGACTACATATGTAAGCATGTCGGAGCTGTACCGAAAGTATTGCCGTCCATCCGAGTGAAATATTCCAAGCATGATAGCATGAGGCCACAGCAATTCTAAGTCATGCTTCACCATAAAGGCCTCTTGAGACTCAATGACTCGAGCTGCTTTGTCAAAACCACGACCATCGGTAAGAACCGACGCAGCCTGCGGGGCATCATGCCATCGGCGCTGCCCCGAAAGCCAAACCTGGGGACTGATATTGCATGCGGGGTAGTCTGAGTCCGTGAATCTGGGGAAATTGGGGTACGAGGGCTTGGCAAGTAAATGGCATGCCGTATTATAATAGCCTCCTCCGGGTTGGTTGAATTGCTGTAGCCATTTCGAGCGTTCAGGATATTTGCTATCCAGTTGCCAGCCGTTACGTTACAATGGACGCTCTCAAAAAGTCGTCCCTCGCGAAATATGTTTATGGCGTAAAATCATTGCCTCCCGGAATTTTTAACTGGCATCTGTTTGTCACAGTTGCTGCATTTGCGCTAGGGGGCTGCCCGAAAGGTTGTATTTCACCACGACCTAGTTTCAAGCTTTGAAGTCTTTTGCTAACTAGCCATATCTTTGATAGGATGGGACGAAGGAGCTGCTGCTTCAATCACCGAGCTCGAATCATTCAAACACGCTTATCACCTTGAAGGCTCGAATAGCAAGACAACGATTTCTAACCTCGTCTCGTTCGTCAACATCGGTGCAGGCGTCGGAGCATTTCTGTCCTTCTTCCTCAACGACAAGATTGGACGTCTTTGGTCGATGCGCCTCTATCAGACAATTTATGCTGCCGGGTCTTTGATATCTTGCTTTTCTTACGGAAATCATGGCGTCCTTTACGTCGGACGCATCATTGCCGGACTGGGAGTTGGTGCTTGCACGGTCGTGGGCCCAATGTCCATCGCTGAAATGGCCCCAAAGAGCATTCGAGGTCTGATGACTTTATGGTTTAATGTCTGCATGCTGGGAGGCCAGGCACTGGGCATTTTTACAGTGTTTGGCTGCAGCACCAACATTTCATCGGAGCACAGCCTTCAGTACCAGATTCCCTGGTTCGTTCAGACCTTTGTTCCCGCAATCGCTATCGGCTTGTCATTCTTTTCAGTTGAGTCGCCGAGGTGGCTCGCCATTCAGGGAAAGAAGAAGGATGCCCTTGACGCTCTGGTGAGGCTCCGTGGTTTACCAGCTGATCACCCATATTTGGAGGAGGAGTATGCCTTGATCGAAACCCACTTGGATGATGAGAACCAGCAGTCAGGGGATCAGGGGTATTTGTCTATTATGAAAGAGACTTTTATGGTACGGTCGAATCTCCGCCGGGTGCAGTTGACTATCGTTGCCTATATCCTTGCCCAATTTTCCGGCGCCAACTCGGTAAGAAACCTGATCTTGACTGGCCGACCCCGTTTGCTGATTGGCACCTTCAGGTTACCAACTATCTTCCAACGATCTTCGGTTACATTGGAGTTCAGGGTGCTGGTGCCAAAGTCTACTCTTCAGGCTTATACGCCGTCGCGAAGATGATTTGTTGTCTTGTCGCCTCCCTTGTCTTCGTCGATGTCCTCGGCAGACGAAAGTCTCTCATGATCGGCATCACAATTCAGGCTGCTTGTCACGCCTACCTCAGTGGCTATCTGAAGTACTTTACCAAAGACCCGGACTCTGTGCCGAAAGGGGCATCTGACGCTGCCATTGGCATCATCTACATCCACGCTCTGGGATGGGCTGTGGGACTCTACACTTTACCATACCTGTTCGGTGCGGAGCTTTGGCCTAATCGTATTAGATCGTTTGGCGGTGCGCTGTCGCAAGGATTTCACTGGTTGTTCTACTTCGCCATCACAAAAGCAACGCCGAGCATCCTGAGTAGTATGGACATTTGGGGTGCGTTTTTGTTCTTTGTCGGATGGTGCATCCTTGCCTTCATCTACACGCTGTTCTTCATTCCTGAAACGAGTGGTTTGAGTTTGGATGAAATGGATGCCATTTTCCAGCGACCCATGCACAAGATGCGACAAGCAGCATCTGGAAATAGTGAGGAGGAGCGAATCGGTAGGCGAGTCTCGGTTGAAAAGGAGGCAGTGGCCCATCTTGAAAGAGACTAGATCAAGAACGGAATGAGCAACACACTATCTCCCCAGTTCGCTTTCATCAACATGCCTGCGGCGTCATTGTGTCTCAAGCAACGGGGTGTGCACATCTACTGTAGACGCGCGCAAATGCCTTCGTCTCGTTGACGCGAGCGTAGCTTTGTCGATGCTTGGCCCACGGAAGACACCCTTTCTCGAAAAAACCCACCCTAACCAAGTCAAGAAGAACAACACCGATGCCACAATGCTGTAAATCATCAGCTATAAGGCTCCACCAAGAATTATTGACTGCCTTTGCTTCTTCCTGTGCAGAAATAGTCACCGACCTGTTGTAATTCATGTTGTAAGGTGTTATTGGATATTCGGTGGGAAGACAGCAGGCAACTACCAGCAACACGGTCCAGATTGTCGATATGAAGTTGACAGCGTAGCCAAATCGTCCCAAGCTGAATGGTCGCTCAGGGAGAAGCTCGTCACGATCCACGAATAGGAGAATGGCCTGTGGGATGACGTAGGATCCGACCAGAAAGATGATAGAAGCGCTCACCATGAGCTCAAATGCCGTCTCTGACCCAACGAACACCAATCCATAGACCTAGTAACTCCTTAGTTTTGGTATCGCTCTGGCGCAAGATGATTGACTCTTACGATGGAAAATGCCGCCTGTATTATGACAGCGTTGAGAGGCATTCCGAATCTTGGACTTATCTGCTTCCACAAATCGGATCGCGGAAAGCATTCGTCGCGTGCAGCAGACCACAGTGCTCGGGACGACCCCGTTATGATTGCGACCACGCAAGCAAAGAAGCATATTGCGAAGGCGACCATGAGAAGTACGGTTATGACTCGACTCCCTGTTGCTTGATAGTACAGCTGGATCAGGGGGAGTCCACTAGGTGCATTCAGAATCTCATCAATATCCTTGATGACGAACATGCAAGTGCATGCAAACGGAAAAACTGGCATTCAATTAGTGCGAGAAGTATCGTGGCCGAAGGGCTCAAACACTACCTGTTGCCAGTCCGATTATTACTGGGTAGATCTGAGTCCTGTTAGCACACTCTCGCGTGGAGGGAATTGCGAGAATACCCACGATCACTTTGGGGGCAGTAACAGTGGAATTCGGGATTTCCTCTGTCATGTGGACACCGGCATCCGTTCCGAGGAACCCATAGAGATTATTGACGAAGCAAAGCACCCATGCGAGAGAGTGACTTTCCCATCCGCTGGATATCGTGTTGTCCGTAAATACCCACCTGGCTGAGTTGTAGTTGGGGTAGCTGCAGAGGAGCATTGTAATAGTTGTTACTACTAGGGTTGCCATGGAAAATACGACTTTCCTCGGCAGTTAGTCGAGAGCTTCAACGTCTCCAAGGGAATCTTGTAGACGTACAGATGAAGCCAGTCAAAGCCGGTAGTTTTCGGGCTCCAACAATGTTGATAGTGGCTCCAAGTACCATGATAGCCACGTAGACAAGATACTTGTGCCATGGGTCGATGATGTAGTCGGGATTCATAAACTGCACGATGGATAGGACCATGCCAGAGATGGAGTTACATGTACTTGCGCCTCCAAGCCAAATGCCCAGCATACTTATTACGGCAGTGCTTTCAGGCGAGTTAGTAATAGTTCATGCATTTCAGAACGTACTGACTTACCTGTACGAAATGAATGGTCCCCATTTCGGGGGAGACAGGATAAAGGCCCAGTAGTATTGCCCGCCGGCGACGGGGAATGCAGAAGTCAACTCAGCCATCCCCAATGATATAATACCAATGAATAAAGCCGCAGGAAAGAGCATGAATATGCTGCCAGAAGACGATCCCTGCTTAATACCATTACCGATGGCACTGCACAAGACAACCAGTCAGTTACGTTACTGTAGGATGTCTGGAGAACCTGAGATTTGAGATGCTAACCTGGCGAAACCATTCCATGTACATATTACAGCATAGGACAAAGCCAACAGAGAAAATGTAGAGAACTGCCTCGGCATCTCTCGATGGTATCCAGATGCCTCCAATTCCGCATCATCGTAGTTGGGCTGGCCATCGATATCTTCAATCGGAGGTCGGGCTGATGCGCTAGGTACTGTCACTCGTCCCTCAGCACCCTGGCCAGGTCTCAATCTTGAGCCCGGTTTCATCGCAGCCAGTCGTTCTGACCGAAGCTTACAGGCACGGGCTACCTAGATGCAGCGTTGGACGACTGAGGGAGGTGGTTGAGACTGGGTTTTGTGTCGGCGATGTCGGCCTGACTCAAGGATCCGCTCCCCGCAACGCTAGTAACACTCGCTAATAGCCCGTGACCTACAGCAGTCATCCTAGCAGCGATAAGCATCTTTTTCGCTCTTGCTCACTGAGACAATCGGATACCTTATCAACCCTCAGTCAAACTTTTGAGGAAATGAAATCCAGCAGCCTCGGAACGACAGCTGGCGGCCGGATATCAAGTCCTTGAAGAAGACCGACCCGGGAACGGCCGGTGCGGCCCCACTCCGGGCGCAGCAATCGGCTAGCAGCAGTCGGCCAACTCCCTCGGCCGCGTGAATTATTGGAAGCCGAAAGCCATGAATGATCATTCGCACGTCGCGGGACCAGCCTGTGTTCACGGTTTCCTTACAAAATGCTGCAAGGCCCGTGTGTTGAAAAAAGGCCGTACTCGGCGTAAGGTATTCGAAGGAGGAAAGGACTTGCGATGTGAGCTGAGTTCGGAGATGTTGCGGCTGCGAGAATCTGTTCATCACGTCCATCATGCACAGTGAAAGTCAGTGTATTTTCAATGGTCAAGTGACACGATTTTCTGCGTCGTCATCTTTATAGAATGTATCACAATGCCTTTCATATACCACAGTCTACTTCATCACTGTAGTCAATTAAGCCCTTTTTACAACCACCGACCATACCTGAACTCCTTCATAAGCCGGAACCCAAGAACTTGTGTTCCATTGAGACATTACACACTAAAAGTAGTCCACATCTCATCAAAATGAGGGGATAGAAGAAGAAGAAGTCATGAGATCAATCAAGCACACATCATGTCGTGCAACTAAATTACTCAGTTGCATGTGCCAAAGGCAGGCTGGCACCCTGTGCCGCAGTGGTCGGTAGTGCTTCCACACCAACCATACTGACTACAGCACGTGGCACCAGGCTCCTTGATACAAGTCGTACCGCCCTGGGTCGAACCACAGCGGCCGTTGGTGCTCACCGGCGGAGTACCTGAAGGCCCGTTAGCCGAGCTGACGGGTGTAGATGAGCTCGCAGGCGTCGATGACGACGGCGGCGCAGAGCTCACACGTACAATCGAAGTTGACGCGCCCGAAATGGCACAGGTGCCGTAGAGGGGCTGGCAGGACGCGCCGCAGTGGTCGGCGGTGTTGCCGCACCAGCCGGCGGAGGAACAGCACGTGGCGCCGGGCTCGTTGACGCAGGTCGTGAAGCCGAAGTTGGGGCCGCAGCGGCCGTCTGTGGAAGGCGTGAGGGTTCCTGTGGGAGAAGCGACGGAGGTGGTGAGGGTGGTGGCAGTGGCGCGGGTAGTGGTCGTGCCGGAGCTGGGCGGGGCATCGCCGACGGAGCGGTACCAGTTCTCCTGGGGGTCGCCGAGGCACTCTCCGACAGTGACGGACTTGAAGCCGTTGCGGAAAAGGGACTCGAGCATGTGGTCTGTCAGGTTGTAGACGGACTGGTAGACAGGGTCGTGCTCGATTTGCAGCCACTTGGTGTTAGTGGGGTCCTTGCCTTCGACGTTGTCGTCCCAGATGTCCTTGGAGTCCTGGATGAGCTCTGGGCTGTCGTGGAGGTAGCCCTCAGTGTCCAGGTTGAAGTAGGTGATGTGGTAGCCGAGGTCATCCAAGTAGCCTTCGCAAGTAGCGTCACAGGCGGAGTAAGGGGGTCTATAGATGTCAGCCAGGTCTTCATTGCGGAGAGCACGTTGTAGCATACCTCATGTAAGTCGGGAAGTAACCCAGCAGGTCGGCAAAAGCGATCTCGTTGTAGATCATCTGGTTGCGGAACTTCTCTGCGCTGATGGTGGTGAGTCTCTGGTGAGACCAAGTGTGGCTAGCAACCTGGTGGCCCTCGGCGATCATGCGCTGGCAAAAGTCAGTTTTCGATTCCAGATTTATGGGACGAATTCACATACTCTGATCAGAGCAGGCCAGTTGGTGGTCGGGTCGTTGATCTTGCCCTTGCCGAGGTTGTTGCCGGTGATGTAGAAGGTAGCCTTGGCATTGTACGCCTACACAGGATCAGCCACACTCATTCGTCGCTACCTGCCTGACAAAGACGTACCTTCAGCTTGTCCAACAGATCCTCGGTGTAGATGTAAGGGCCGTCATCAAAACTCAAAGCAATGTCGCCGTACTGCTCGCAGTGATAGATGGCCTCGCCGTAAGGCACCGGGCCAACCTTAGTGCGAGCGACGTTGGTCGTGTCCGGCCCGTCTGGGCGGATGTTGGCATCGCATGCCGGGCCGTACTCAATCATGCACGACGGCGCAGAGCAGTAGAGATACCCTTGACCGCACCATCTGCCATACGTTTCAATATCCAAGTCTTGAAAATATCTGGGGCAGAGAGACATGACTTACCCTGCGCTGGAACAGCAGTATCCATCGTCGCAGACCTGGTTGTCGTAGTCCGGGCCGCAGCGGCCCACGGACTGACGCGCCTCCAGCTCCGAGGCCGCCGGCGCCAGTTCAGGTTTCGCAGCGCGGCGCTGGATCTGGGGACGGGCCGCGGTAAAGTCCTGCATGGCGCGTCTCCCAGTCATGATCTGGGGCACGGGAAGCCTGTCGCCAGAATCGGCGCCGTGTGCAGCGGCTAAGCCGAGACCAGCCGCGAAAGCGAGGGTGGTGAAATGCATCGTGAAAGTATGCGGGAAGTACAACCTTGGGTTGGTAACGAATGATTTGTCCCCGTGGACACACACGACAGCGCTGAACGAATGGACTATGGCAAGGCAGAATTCAGTGAAGAACAGGGCCAGGCCAAATGGGACAATGTACACAAAAGCAGGAGGTGAATCTACCGAAAACACTGCTTTTGGCAACTAATTACACCGTGGACCGGAAGAATAGCAAAGCGGACCAGACGGCTCGGGGCCGGAAAGTGTGTTTTATAACGGAAGGGCATGTTCATCTGATCGGGTGAGCAAGCTACCTTGGGCATGTAGGTAGTCTCTCGGCTGAAAATGCGACCCTACGCAGGCGGCGTGAGAGATCGGCCGCAGCGTGCTTGGCTCCAGCTCGGAGGGGGGAGTAATTACAGCGAGCAGGTCTCTGCCGGGGAGAAACGCGACGTTCTGTATGCGTGTGTACATTGCTTGTCATCCCCGCATGGCGGTAGATGCCTGTACCGTGGAGCGAACTTCCAATGAGACATGGGTGCTTCGAGGCGGCGGCGGCTCCCCGTTGGTCGGGGCCCTCTGCCGGCAAGTGACTATTTTAGTCACCTCCATCTGATAATACGAGGGCGAACAAGAGAAAAGCAAGGAGCCTGCAACGTGAATAAGATATGGGGATGGTTCTAGCGCAAGTAGCTGAGCAAATCCCCGAATGTCACGGGTCACTGGTGGCTGTCACGAGCAGAACTGGCGGTGATTCAGGACGCCACTGGGCATCTGAGAAGACAGTTCTGACATGGCTTGAAGATGTCAGGAACGTCCTGTGAGTGAGTGGTGGATGTGCCGACTACGGCCACCAATCTTAGCACTCTGGTGCCTGACCACCTGTGAGATGTGTAATTGGAGGCGGCGCAGGCAATATTGAATCCATACATGACCTTATTGTGTGCCTAACACAAGAGATGGTGTACAGAGAGCCGTCGTTTGAGGTACCAAGGCAAGCCAAGAGAGCCTTCATCGAGCACAGGCTGACTGGACGTAAGCCGACGTGGATCCGAAGGCAGACAGGTCAGCCGTTGTGGAGTCTTGAAGAGCGTCCAAATCGATCGAGGAGTGCGTCAAAAGCAAAAAAGACCAATATGAGAAAACGAGGATGGTTATTGGGGCGACAAGGCTGGGCGTTGGTGCTGATGCCGAGCCCGCGTACAGCATAGTAACGTGCCTTGCAGATCAGCCGAGTAAATGCTGTGGACAACAACAATGGTATGATGGCCTTTGATTCCTTTGATGGAGCTGCTTGCATATTGTCCTGTTGCCCGGCTGTTGTTGACGCACAGCAGCCTGGGCTATATTGAAGAGGGGCCTCGCTGTGATGTCTCCAGCTTTTTCTCATGTAGGTGAGATGGGGCCAGGATGGGCTGTGGATGCTGAGATGCACTCGTTTTTCTGCACTTGGATTAGTGAGGAAACAGGCGTGGGAGGAAGACGAGGTGAGAGGGACGATGGATGGGTGAGTGAGATGGAGACTTGAAAAGTGCTGTGCAGCAGTGAAGCAGCGAGCCGGGGGCGGAGAGCGGGGCAGGGCGATAATTTGTGGGGCGGGTCCGAGCCAGGCTCTTTTTCTCATAAGAGAAAGTGCATAAACAGCATGCATCAATCGAGGAAACACCCTGGAACCCCTTTTGGAGGCTATTCCCCCGATTATTGCCTCCCGCCCCGGGTCCATGGTCAGCTCACCCCCTTAACATGCTCTACCGAAGGTCAAGCTACTCGCTCCGCGCCTGCCACGTCCCACGAGCGCCCCTGACCTGCCGAAGTATTGGCTTGGCAGCGCTCGGTGTGTGTTTGTTTCCAGGGCCGCTGTATGGCATCTTCAGGCGTCAGATCGCATCTTTCCAGCACTTTTGCTGCTGTTTTTCAGGCCATGTCTGCCGAAAAGATGACCCGGCCCAGGGGCTCCTCGCCATCGGCTCACTGTGTCTGGCGAGGGAAGCTTGCCTTACTCGAAGCTTTCTGGCGCTTGCTTGGCAGTCAGCTTCACGTTGGATTGTGACTGTTGCGACAAACGTGGACGAGTTGCTCGCGCGCGGCTGTGTCTCTGAGCCCGAGTCCTTGTTTTTGTGTTCCTCTTGTCCTGGTTGTGGTTCCTGTGATGTGACGCTTACGGTGGGATTGCAGAGCCCTTTGCCGGCTGGCTCCCTTCAGTTAGCCTCCCATCATGTCGGCAAAGGAACCCCCCGATGCTCGATTGACAGCAACGTCGGCCACCATTCTGGCTCGTCCTTCCAAAAAGATGCCCCAGTTTCGTGCAGACACGGGCTTGCCCAGACTTGAGACACTGGCCAACCGCCAGCCGTTGCAAGGGAGGCTGCTCTCTGAGACCAGTCTGGGTTCGCAATCCCTTTTCCCACGTTGCCGTCGCGGTCGTTGCTACCAGAATGGTAACAGCACCTGAAATGGACGATTCCATCACGCCTTCACCGGATCACGAAACTCGACGAGGTGGCAGTTTACCCCCGTGAATTGCCTCTTACAGAAAGAAACAAGAACCTTAACTCCGGGCTCGGTACCCGCTCGTCGGCCTGGGATAGGGTTGGCTCGCTTCGCACAAGTCCCGTCGCTGTGCTGTAACTCGCTGCAACCCGCGCATGTTGCCTCTGGGTTGAGTACGCCCTCTGCGTATGCTGCATCACGGCGCAGCAGCTCGCGCAGGGTGCAGCTCACCGCATTCGGTTGCACATTCGCACAAAAGGGAGAATGAAGGGACCGGGGTTGCATATGTGGTTAGCAACAGTGAGAAAATCGAAAGAAAACTTTTCACTTCATGTTGCCGGCATCATCGCCCGGCGACCTTTTGTTCGACGTCGAGGCTGATGCCAAGGAGCTGAGATGGTATGATATGACGATGGCTGGCAGTATGAGGGGTCTGAGTGCATAATATTGCGCGCTGGCAGCTGCGGAGGCATGTGGCCTAGCCCTTTTGTCTCATAGCGGTTATTCATATCCCATGTCGTGTGTGTTGTGATACCAGAAGTCTTTTTTTTTCCCCCAAGACAATGACAAGCCCTGTCATGTGTGAGACATCGTACCGGTCGCTGAGTAGATTGGTGGCTGGAATACGATGAGATGAGGGGTAAAAACGATGAAGACTTCTTTTTCTTGCGGAGCGCGGTCTTGGGCCAATTGCCTGGAGGCTTGTCAGACTTGAGCGAATATATCCGGGAATAAACCAATTTAGCACTTCCTGCGGATGAGTGGACTTGCAAATGAAGGCAGTCGAGACATCGCGCCAGAATGGCGAGGATGAAGACATCCAAAAGAATGCCACTGGACGGGTGCCTAAGCGCGTAGTGCGTGAGCTGCTCTGTGCTCTTCCCGCGTCTTTTCCTCCACTCCCTGACGGAGCTTTTGTGGGTGTTTTTTCCGTGACATGGAGAGATCGACATTCCGGTCGAGGATGAGTTGCAGGCGGAGAGCGGGAGTGATGGGGCCTTGTCCGGATCACTTCCCCAGGTGGACCTCACTCAAAGCTGTTCAAGGTTGAGACGCGCTCCGCTGGAGCCCAATTCCATCCCTACACATGTGGGCTTTGAAATGTGCGATTAGCCAAGACACCCACCGTTGAAGTTCTCGACCCAGATCTGTGATGAAACGCTTGGTCTTTGCCGCGACTCACCGTCGCTGACACAACCACGTGGGTTCTAATGTGAGAGAGTGAGATGTTCTCGCTCATTCCAACTCACCTGAGCCTCACCACACGGTGGATGGTGTACGATGCGAAAAGACGCCGGCGGACGACCATCAGTCGGGTACCTGATTCTAGCGCCGGCAGACCTGCCAAGCTGGGCGTGGAAATGAGTCTGTGTTGACGATGATCTTTTCGGGGGCCCATCACGCCTTCGCCGCACTAAGTTGTGTCGATTTTCAGCCTTCGGGGCGGGAGCTAGTTAGTTCAGATGGCGCTGATCTTGCGAAAAACGGTAGGGCTTGACGGGATCTGTCTCCTCCCACATCACGGACGTACAACTACGGTTGACGGGTCCACGACGGCAAGGTTTCGACGAGGGCACGGAGGCATAGCTTCCTTTTCTTAGCTCCGTGCTAGATGCGATGCGACGAACTACTTTAGCTGGGACCGCAGGGTCGGGTTGCAAAAGCACGCTCAAAAAAGACGTTGACGGGACGCGTAATAGCTTCATTTGGGCTGATGGTGCCACCGGCTAAACAAGTTAGTCTGGGTCCAGCTATTAGTTCGAGTGCGACGTACCTTGGAAAGGAATCTCCAAATTTGTCCCTGGAAACAATTTTGCCGTTTCTTGTTGTTCGCGATAGCAGCGGGATGGAAGGTTGTGACAGGATAGAGCTATCGGCATGGCGGAGATTCAAGGCGTGCCACACATGTGTCGCAGCGCTGTCTTCGCGGAGACCAACCACCGCATTCCCCGCCGTCGTGACAACGGTGCAAATAAATCATCTCACAATAACAGACATGCACAGCAAGGCAATTGAAAGCATGAAAATGGGTCAACCGTCTGTATGATTTTGGATTTCGTACGTGATACTTGAGAAAGGTATCTATGCCTCATAAGTCATTCATGGAGCCACCAGACCTAAACATTACATTAAGAATGAAAGAAAACAAATGATCGAAAATAAGAATGAAGATCCGACAAGACAAGTCGGAAATATGAAGACAGAATCAAAAGCAGGAAGGAATCGAAGAAGACACAGGGCCCTGCCAGAGCGCAGCCCCGCCATCGCCCTTCGTTTCCGTCCGTCTGTACAAGAGTCCTCCGCTATGTACGAGCTCTCCAAGCCGTATGTGATGATGCTGTCGGTGGTCGATGGTGATGAAATGTGTTTCTCCTTCCACAGGTAGCCCGTGTACTGCCATTACCTGGATATATCTGATATCAACTTTTTTCCTCTCCCTTGGTCGTGCGGCTCGCCCGGATCCTCCAATCGCAAGCCATGTCTCACCCTCCCAGTCGTCGCGTTGACGAGTCTAATGTTCCCATTTT